TAAAAACTCACTAAATTATGTAATTATATTTCAAATGATCAAAAAGAATTCAAAATAATGTCATTTTTAAATATTTTCAATTTTTTAAGAAAACAAATAAAATTTTTAATATTGCATAATATGAAAATCAAGTTTACTTTTAAATATTTTGTTTTTGATTTTTCAAGGTTAAAGTAAAAAACAATTAATTACATATTTATGATGTTAATTCTTGTTAAAATACTTATACTGTATGCTTTAATATTATATTTTATTTTATATTCAAAAATTGTTCATATAAAAAAGTTTGATATTAAATACTATACAAAAATATTAATTAAAAATTTATCCTTCATTACTATTATTTATCTAAACATAATAAATAAAGTATTTTGCAAAAATATACTTAAATTGTTTTATAACAAATAATAATGAAGTATTTAATTACTTACATACATAAAATGTATAACAACTGAGATAATGGCAATGAAATACAACCAGCCATTATAAAAATTTTATATAGACTTCAATTTAATTTTATCACTCTAATATTTTATTAATATATTTTAGTTATAAAATATTAAATATTCGTTAACCTACGAGAATGTCAAGTAAATGAAAGAAAGTATTATACATATTCTAACACTTACAAAATTGTCTGTTTAATATTGCAGTTTAGGTAATAAAAAAAAATTAATGAATTTTTTATAAAACACTAGAATTAAATAAATAAATTAGACTGATAAAATGAGGATTCAGGTTTAATCCAAAAAAAATATCTTGAAATTTCTAACAGGTTATTGAATCAAATAAAAACTATTTAAAATATCTTGAATCAAGAATGAATTTTATTTTAATTTTAAACATTAGTTCATTTGAAATTAAAATCATTGTGTTTGCCAAATTCAAAGAATGTAATTTTTATTTAGCTTGTACCACATATATTGTTAATGTAGATTTTAATTGAAATAGGAAACCAGTTTCATAAGTTAAAAAACCTTCTGATTTGTGTTTTTTTTTTGTTAATAAGGTGCCAATAACGACATTCATTGTAAAATCATAATCTATTACTATTTTTTTTTCAATTTAGTACATAAATATATTATAAAATACAATTATATATAACATTATATATTTGTACATATAACAATAATTTATTAATAAAACTAAAAATTGTACTTAATTGAAATATTTTGTTTGAAAAAAAATAACAAGCAAAACCTATTTATTAAATAATATAAAATAATTATTATACTCGTAAATTACATTTTGTATATATGTACTTATATAAATATATATTTTTATATGCATATATGTATGAATGATGTGATTTAATTTGTAGTGTTTAATACTCTTTCAAGCATGTATTACAATAATGGAACTGATTATGTAAAAAAAAAATCTAATGAATACAAAATTAATTTTAATTTTTAATATTCTCGGCTGAATGAATTTCAATTTTCGTAAAAAAAAACAAAAACAAGTTTTAAAAGTATTTTCCGCTCTTTTTTTTTGAAAGTATTTTAAACTTTGTAAATGAATTTAACAAAACTTAAAATATCCGAGATTGTAAAATTAAAAAAATTGTTTTTTTTTTGTTTTTTTTTTTTTTTTAATTACGGCAAGCCCCCTAAAAATAAAAACGTATATGCAAATACGTAATTAAAAAATAAATTCACAAAACCTGATCTTTTTTGTATATTTTCGCTTTTTTTAGAATATCACCTTGAAATGTAGACACAGACAATTTCATACAATTAAAATAAAAAAAAAATAAAAGTAATATTTACATTACTGTTATCTATTTATAACGTTATATATGAGTACATTTATAATTGATAATAAAATTCATAATCTTCCACGTGATATTTTTAAAGTTATGGATAACCTATTATACTATAAGTTTGTACTAAAATTAAGCTGGTAAATAAGTTGAATATTAGTAAAAATTTATAATTGTGACGAAATTTAGAGGATAAAAACAATGTTGAGTAATGTGAATATAAAAAAAAAACTAAATTTTGAAAATCACGTTCCCTTTAGATAAAATATTTCCATAACTATAAAATTTTATTTTATTTAAATAAAATGCAATGCTGTCTGTAAAATAAACAGATTTTGTTTTAATTATTTGGTCACGACATTAGAATTCATGGTCATGTAATATGAAAATTTTAAACAGTATAGAATCTAGAACAATTGATGGAATCTGATATAGAATCTAGGACAATTCTAAAAATTGTTTAATGAATAATTTTTAGGAATCTTCACAAACAAGAATCTTTGAGTATGAAAATCCTTCTCGCGAAATTACAAGTAATTTTCAATAAAGATTTTACATTAAATTTTATTTACGATTGTGCTCATTTAAGCTCTTGCTATTTTCTATAATTTTCCTCTATATATCCTTGATCTTTATTTTTGTTACATAATTTTCTTAGGATTTTAATTTATCTTAATTGTAGAACTAATATTTGATTTTTTTTTTAAATTAAGATTAGAAATTTTGCGTATACTTATGAATTAAATTATCTAAAATTAGATTATCTAAATATTTTTATTTAATCAACTTCTAACGCATATTTTTCTTTACCTTTGTTAATTAGTGTTATTTAAGTAACTATATAAATATTATGTACCTTTTTACTTTTATTTCGCAACTGTTCTAATTTAAAATGTTTCTTGTTAGCTAAAACTACTAAATGTGCAAAATGTTTTTCTAAATTATTCACTACCTTAATATTTTTTAAATGTTAAGAAATATTTTAAAATTTAATGACATTTAAATGATATGTATATACATATGTATGTATATTACCATAATGTTATGAATAAAAAAAAATATATAACCATATTTTTTTTATGTTTACACCTGATTAATTCTTCCTAGAATGTTTCATTGAAAATTTCCATAATATTATTTTTTTCCGGGTAATAAGCTGAGGGGAATGTATGTAACAACTTTCATATGGAGAGAAAAAAAAGCTAAGTATAGCTATATTCGATAGAAAATCAATACTTTTTCAATTTTTTTTTATTTATTGTTGATTTCCACTTTATTTTATTATTATTTTTTAAACTAATGAAAAATTACTGTGACGACCTTGACTTTGAATAGCATTTTCATTGTCAATTTATTATTTTTTTACAATAATAAAAAAAAAAAGAAACAAAATTGCATACCATTTCGAGAAAAGCGGAACAAACACGATTACGTAGCTTAAATTGATTTATATACAAATAGTATTAATATTAACACACATTCTTAGTTCAAAAACTTTAAGTTATGTAAGGAAATTGAGAGAAATGAAAATTTTCTTTTAATATAAATATTTACAACTTATAAAAATTTATTTTCTCTTTAGTTTTAAATACTAACACTTTATTATAAAAAGAGAATGATGACACAACCGCAAAAAGCTATGAGAATAAAAACACATTTTTTCTTTGATCGAAAGGTAAAAAAATAAAAACTTTTGCAGAAAAAGAGATTTTGTTTTAGGTGTTGTTACTTAACTAATACATAATTTATGTAATTAACATAATTATACAAATACCACATGGAATTTTCTTAAAAGTTGAGGACTTCAATTTGACATTTAATCGAGCTTTTTATGTTATAATATTGCTCCTTATATTATTATAAAAAAGCTCTTGAAAACTCAGTGCGTACTCGCATTAATGGTAATATTAGAAGCACATAATATGGGTTATGTCAATGTTATCACTTTTTCAGTAATTAGTGAATTGCTATTGACATTTTATATCATTTTAATCAAATTTAATATTAACTTGTATATTTTCGAGGGTTTTTAAATAATTTCTAATTAAATAAATTTGGTATGTTTAGGTATAATCAGATATTAAAATTTTTCTAAGTAAAAATTCACAAAATGTCAGAATTGGCATTCAAAAATTATTTATGAAAAACTATTTCATTCCAATTGACGAATTTGAATGAAATTTCAGTCTTCGACTGGAACTGGTATAAGAGTCAACTACATTTTGAACTTTGTTATGAGTTTTAAACTAAATTTCTATATTAATACACAATTTTATATTTTAAATAAAAATAAAGCGTAAAAACTGAAAAACAACAAACTTTATTTTTGCAAATTACCGACATCATCGAATAATCAATAAAAAGTGAAATGTTTTAATAAAAAATGGAATAATTTAATATTTTTAATAAAAAATAGAATAAATTAATAGAAATGCCTTCACAAGCATTCATAAATGAACAAAAACTTTAAATTAATAATTTAAAAAAATTTGCTTTTCATGTTTAGACTCTTGGAAACCATTTAATCAATTAAAGAAAATGAAAAGTTTTTTTTCTATACTTTTCCTTTTTAATGTACTATGAAACCTTGAGAATAGTGTTACCATAAAATACAATATAATAAATTCTACTCAACAATAAATAAAATGAAATTATTGAGAACAAATTTTTGAACTGCAATTTGAACTTGATTTTTGAGATAATTACAAAAATTCAAGATTAATGACCAAAACACTTAATAACAAATAAGAAATATAGGAGTTTCACTCTGAATTCATTTAAACTTAAGTGTATAACACATAAATAAATATTATTTCTTATAAACTTTATATGACAATTTTTGTACAAAAATAAATAAAGCTGGTAACACTTTTCAATACATATCAGATACGACATAGTGGAAAATTAAAGATTATGCAATCAATTTCAATGTTTATTTTTTATTAACTCAAAATAATAGTTACGTATATTAAAAGGAAAATTTAAGATTCTACATTATTTTCTTAAAAGAAAATTTCTTCAATAAATTAATTCAAATTACCTACATACATACATATGTATATGTATGTATATTTATTATAAAAATAAATTGCTTTTCCCTGACTTATTTATTTTGAAAATAATTTTCGATAAAAGCCCAAAACAATTCTTACATAAGAAAATTACGTTCTATTTTCATTTTAAAATGATAAATAAACAATTTCTTTTTTATTTTATTTTAAAAATAAATAATACTTACATAAAAATTTAATTTGTTTTATCCAAAAATAGGTAGAAAAATAATCGAGGAACAAATTTTCTTTTTTTCTTTTAAATTTAGTACCTATTATTTTTATTCCAATAAATTCGAAATTATCGAAATAGATGTACGAACAGAACAAAAAGTCGAGAATAATCCTTAGCACACTCTATTCTTATTGTTGCTTTTTATATTATTATTTTTGTTTTGTCCTCAAGGTAAGAATTACATAAAAAAAAATCGATGAAATTTTTTTTTCTTTTGCTATTTATATGTACATCTGTATGTATGTATGCACATGAATTTTAAATTTTTTTTTTCTAGAAACTTTTCTTAATCCTGTTTCTGTAACTAAACCTTATACTTTATAAAAAAAAAAACTGTTTAATAAAAAAATCAACACTATCACAGCCTTTTATAACAGTCCCATTAAATTTCCAATTTTTGTAACTTTTATTTTTCTTTTTAAGGAAAAATTATGAAAAATTTTCACAAATTGATTTTTTTTTTTTGTTGTTTCCAAAATTTTAAAAAATTTTATTGAATATTCGACTAATTAAAGCTAGAAAAGTAGGTCACTTTTTAAAGTCAAAAGAAAAATATGAAAAAAAAATTAAATTAAATTTCAATTTAAAAATATTTATAATTTTCTAAAAACGAGAACCAGAATTTTATTGTTTTTAATTTTTTTTAATAATTTTTTTTTTTAATCAATATTATTTCTTAACAAATAAAATACTGGATCTTTAAAATTCTCCCTAACACTAAAAAAAAAAAAATTATATTCGAAGTAATTGTAGACAAAATTAATTTTTTTTTTTCTATACCGAAATTTACCTTTTCGCTATGAAAGTTTTACAGTGACTGAAAAATAAAAAGCTAACTAAATCCTAACCTACTACCATGCAAAATTTATAAAATATACGCGAAAATTGATTTTTTTTTTTATTCTGTTTTAGTATTGTCCCTCTGTTTAAGATGGACCAAAAAAAAAATATAAAAGCTTTTCCGTTGAAAAATAATGACAAATGTGAAATAAAAATATCTCAAAGATATGGAAAACAAACATACATACATATGTAGAAATATACACTGTGGGTATATAAAATATAAAATCAAAATAATAAAAGTTTGGGAACTTTTTTAAAAAATGATAACAAAAATAAAACAAGACTAAATTCAATCAAAAAAATTATATGAAAAAATATTCATAAAATGAAAATTGTTGTTAAACGATGAAAAAATATTCATGAGACAATCTAAAACAATATAATATAATTGACTTAGAGCTAACAGTGGCGTTCTGTAATTTTTTAATACAGATTGGATAATGCAACTTTTCAATAGAGCCAAAAAACTAGAAGTGTCTTATAACCATAACCATTTATCATGCATTATACATCAAATGAAAGCTTTTATTAAGCAGAATTGAAAAAATATACCTAAATTAAAAAATTCGCTTATACTGCGGGCTACAGTTATTAACAACGTAAAGTTTGGAAAAGAAATTTATTAGTAGCATTAAGTTACATTATTACTACATCTTACATCGACTGTTTGGAATTGAAAATATTTTGGTTGAACTGAAAGAAGTAGATTTTGAAAAGAAATTTTGAAAAAACTTTTGAAAATAGAGCTACAACCATAATTTTTTAAAAAATTGCGAGAAATAAATCGATATTGTCAGTTACGTTGAATAAAAAGATCCAAGAAAAAATTGCTAACTCTAATAATCAATATATTTATTAAAACCTTCTTAAAATTTCAGAAATTGATAACTACATTTTATACAATAACTTCTACAATATTTAACCAATGGTCGGGAAAGTTTGACAGAATATGTATTTTAAGTAGCCGAATTTAAATGAAATTAGTGTATAGCATAAAGTAAGTAAGTGGATATTTTGACTTATTGAACGGTAAAATATGTGTAGTTCAAAATGGCTTTTAAAAGAAAAATTAAATTAAATGTTTTCTTCTTAAAAGAAACAGTTCAAACTCGTTATTACAATTATATATACATATGCAAGTACGTACAGACAAAGTTAAAAAAAATTATTGTCCAAAATATTGCAGTAGAATAAACTTTATAAAACTAATGTGACATAACATAAACCTCAATAAAACTTCTTTAAAACAAAAATTTAAGTTCTTAGATAACCGTATCGTTCTTATCTACATAAAATTGAATAAGGGCTTTTCCAGTCAAATGTGTACTTTGATTTTATGATTTTCATATGTAAATTATGTACTTATAAGTGCACTCATTTAATAATCAGATGCAATTAAAACTTTACTGGATTATAATCTCAAACAGAATATTTTTTTAAGTAAAAATTTTAATTTATTTGTCAAGTCATACGAATTACTAGAAAAAAACACCACTAAAACTACCTTAAACTAATAAACAAATTATTAAAAACTATTAAACAATTAAGTAATTTTATGAATTTAGTAAAAATAAACAAGTCACGTCACTGAATATATTCAGAGGAATGTTCACAAAATATAAAAGTTCAACGTTTAATACGAAGGTAAAATCTATACTCAAAAAAATATTACATTAGAAACAAGCAAAATAAATGAATGAACAAAAAGAAAAAAGAAAAATTTGCATTTTTACGGTATATTTCGTAAAAACTGAATACAAATTAAAGATTAAGAGTGTTATTCATTCAACGAAACTGAAGTCGTGTGCAAAATTTAATATTTGGAAAGTGAATTTTAATGAATTGGTTTTTACTTAACTACAGTAGGGGGGCGTGTTTCAAATTTTTTTTTCAGTTTACTTGAACAAGTAAACTCGAAATAAAATTCCTATGTTACAGAAAAAAAATCGTGAAATATTTTTTTTTAGATTTTCTTTCATTTATCGGCAGTAAACTACGGTAACAAATTTAAAATTATGTTTATATGCAAAAATATTGCATAAAAATATAAAAACTTTGATATTAAAAATTTCGTGCGAGATTAATTTCGTTTTGTCATCAATCCGAACAGAATTGAACTCTACTAAAATAACCTTTTACATTTTTGCTGTATTTTGAATACATATAGGTATCTAGATATTTATTTTATCCAGTACATATAGGTACTTAGATAAATGTTATAATAATGATTAAACGATTAAAATAATTTGAAAAATAGGTAGGTGCTACATACATATGTATATTTTAGAACATCACAATACACCTAAATACCCACATGCATATTACAAACATATGTATATGAAAACCAAAATAATCCTAGTTCGCTCTTCCTCAGAATGTAAGTGAAATGATAGATGTTATTTCTACTAAAATCAAAATAGTAAAGTATTTAAAACCGACAATCCCTATATTTTAATATGTATTTATGAGTTATATATGTATACTCATATTGTATGTGTATATGAAAATACTAAGGTAAGCATCGAAATGCAAAATTTCAGTCTTAATCACAATTCATTTCAAAAGGCGCGTAGATTATGAACGTAAACTTTTGTTTTTGCAATCACATTTCTAACTAGCTTATCATAAATTACTTAGCTCTAGCGTTTGATCTATAGTCGTCATCATTATTACATTTTGATTAAAATTAATTCAAACTAACACATGCAGGAATAAGTCCTTCATAGTTTTTTCTATGATTTAAGTCTTAAATATTTCATCTTCACATTCAGAACAAATATTTCCCAATATTAAATGAAATTAACTAAATTGAATTTTTTTTTAAAAATTCAAATATAGTATGTCAAAAATTTGAACTAATTATTTTATTTCTACATATTAATAAAATTTTATTATATAATTTTTATAAAAAAATTTTGATCACTCACCTATTTTTCACTTATAATGCCAAATAAATTACCCAACTTAAAATTTTAAAATATCCAGTGACAGGCAAATGCTTTAAAAATGTTTTTTTAAAATATTAAAGAAAAAAATTTTAAGATTTAAAATTTTCGAAAAATAAAAATTCTTATTTTTTTAATATATTTTGCGCTCCTACCTGTCAGTTCACAAAAAATAAAACGCCAACTAAATTTAGGGATGTTTTTCAATGACATTTCTTGTCATATGGTTTTGATTACTCAAAATATTTTTGAAAATTGTAGGAGATCTCCATGTTTAAATCTTAAAAATTTATATTTTAAAAATTCACGTAACATTTGCTTATGTCATAGATTATTAAATTCATAAATATATGTTGGAAGAAAAACTAATTTTCAAAAAGATTGATTGTGACAGCTCTTCTTGAATAAATATTATATTATATTTATTCTATATATATATATTTTGGGTGAATTTCGTACCGAAATAAAGATTTGCAATGTGATATGTATATGAGCATTTATGAAAATTTCATAACGCGGACACACATGATCATACACAAACGATTGGAACTGAAAAAATAATCGGATGGAAATTCCCTTAGTCCGTGTATTACACACTTGAACTTCAATTTACACTTTTCTTCACTCTCCACTCTTCAATTTACACTTTTCGTGTAAATTGAAAACAATTTACACGAAAAGCTAAAGTATTTCACTTGTTACTTTGGCATAATAATAAATTTACATTTTAAAAGTTCTCTATTGAAGTCGTAACGCTATTAAAAAGTCCCTTATTAAAAATAATGTTGGCATTCCTGATTTTTCGAAAGCCATATGTTGCACAAAACGTCAGTCTCGTCGCTATTCCTACCTCATTATTTTGTAAAGTTCTTTAATCTTTTTCAGTTTAAATTAATCATAACATGGCTTTTAGGATAATTAGGATTGGAAGAAATTTAAGGCTTTTATCAAAAAAATTATCATATTGCGGATGTAAAGACAATTCACGTATTCTACATAATTACGAAAATAAATTATATAGAGTAAGTTAATATAAAAACAATATATTGTTGCTTTTCGATACGACTATTAAGTCCTCAAAATCGCTTCAAGTATTTCCATGGTATTCTGTTAAGATAGTATTTCTCTTATAATTTCAGATTTGTTGATCCTTTTTGAAAAAAGAGCTATAGTCGTATCGAAAAAAGCAACCTAAAGTTATGTAATATTTGCTTGAGACGACAAAAAATTCAAATAAAGTTCAAGGTTAATAGATTATTAAAAAATATGGGCAGAACACAACGATATAGAAACAAAAACCGGAAGAATAAATTGAATAATTGTGAAAATGTTAATTCATTTGATATCAGTGGTCTATTCAAATTTCTTAGTTCATTTGGTTGGAGGAATGAAAAACAATTGGCAATTAGAAATTTCGTTAGCACAGGTCGTGGCCTAGTGACAAAACTAGGAATTGAAGCAAATGAGTGTTTACTAGAAATACCTTTTAAATCAATGATATCACTATATACCTTAGAAACAGATACTGATTTTAAAGACATTTTGCGACAATCTAATATTTTAATGAAAAACGATATTCAATACCAGTCGTTACTATCATTTTATTTGCTTTTTAAGATATACGATAAAAAATCGTTGTTACAATTTTATTTTAATAGCTTACCTTCTCAATTTAGTACTCCATATTTCTGCAATAAACAAGAACTATCTTGTTTGCCAAATGATATTTTAAAGGCAATTGTTGAACAAAATAATACAATTCGTGAGCAGTTCAACATATTTTATACTAACTTACCTGAATGTTGTGAAGTTTTTGGAATCTGTATAGAAAAATTTAAATTTGCTTATTTTGTTGTAAACTCGAGATGTGTTTTTGTAGATCCCAACATTTTAAAGAAATTAATTGAAGCTCCTTTAGTTTCAAAATGTCTAAAAGATGAGCCACGATTTGCTCTTGCTCCATTTTTAGATTTATTAAATCATTCGGATACCGTTACAAGTAAAATTGAAATTTCAGAATATTCAACTGTGGAAAATATTAAATATAGAGTCTTTTCCAATAACAAATTTAAAAAAAATGAACAATGTTTTATAAGCTACGGCCAGCTCTCAAATTTCAAACTATTAATCGATTACGGATTTTTCATACCGCATAATAAACACGATGTCTTTTCATTTTGCTTGGAGGATATAGAAGCTTTAATAAAACAAGAAAAGAAATTTAGAACATGTATTTTCCATAAAAATAAATTTAAATTTATACGTGACCATAATTTAGACAATTTAATGTTTATTGATTTGCATAATGGTCCGTCGCATAATATGATAATTGTATTGTATATAATATTTAAAGAAGAATCGAATTATCCAAATATTCTTAGTCAAATTGCATTTGGTAATTTTATTTGTGAAAATGATATCAAATACGAATTAGAATTATTGATCACTTTAAAAATTCAAGAATATGAAAAGTATATTCTTGGTTTAAATAGAATGGAAATTTTAACATTAAGTGGAAAGGTCTGTTTAGATTATTTGAAGTATTGTGTTGAGTATTTAAAAAAAATGCTTACAAAGATGAACAATTGAATTATATTGTATTGCTACATAAAATCTGTGCTGAAAAAAGAAAATAGAATGTTATAGAATATTTATATTAAAAACTTTATTACAATTTCGTACTTTCCGTAAACATTGAAAAATATTGTTAATTACTCTAAAAAACTTGTAGCAAAAAATAAAAGAAAAGCATTTTTAAATTTTTTTTTTCATTATAATATATTTTCGAATAGCACTATGCCTCCTTAGTTAACGAAGATAAAAGCAAGAAACAAGAATCATCCCATGTGATATCTAGTGGAAATGTTTTGGGCAAGGGAATTGGTGCTAAAAAGCCTAAAACAGGTAATTAGTTAATTAAGAATATTCTTTGAGGTGCCTGTTTGTATGAAAAATGATTAAAGATTTTGTGAGTTCTTTATTTAATTATCTTTAGCTGTTTTAGTTTTTAGTTCTATTACACATGTTCATTTTTCATTTCATAAATTATTTTTTGAAAGATTTCGACACAAGTATCACCTCAAAGAAATTTATTTTTCAGTAAAGTCTTTACATGAATATTTTTGTTGTATATGTTATTAACAATTTAATTTTTTCAATAATTAAAATTTGTGAACACAAATACACCCACCCATAAAAATTATCTTTCATTCATAAAAAAGGAATTTTCTACAGGAAATTTCCTACATAACACACAGTTATTATTTCGATTTATTTTTTTTTAACTTTGCTTTTGAAATTTTTGTTGGCTTGTTGTGTGACCAATTCTGAGGGATATTACTTTGACCAAAGAGTAAATTTCCCATCTCAGGTCCATGGCAGCCAATTCGATATTGTTTTCATCCTGGAACTTCTTCTGTAGCAAGGGAATCACTTGGAGACTTAAATGCCCCAGATGTAACTGCAAAAGAAATGATTAAAGCGATGATGGCTTATATCTGGCCAAAAGATGATCCAGCTATTAAAATTAGGTAGCTATAAATTAAAGAGGTTTTAAACAAAGGTTAATTTTGTTATAATAAATAATATTTGAATAATTAAAGAGTTGGTGCCGCTTTAAGTTTGCTGGTGGGATCTAAAGTTTTAAATGTGTGCGTTCCTTTCTTATTTAAAGAAGCAATTGATACATTAAATATTTTAAGCTTGAACACTGCAGCTGATGCCGTAGTTGCTGTTCCAATTTCTATATTGCTGGGATGTAGGTGTCTTGCGTTTATCAATTATTTTTATTCCGGTTTTTTTTTTTCATAAAAATTTGTTATTGACATAATTTTTTTAGATGGTATAGCAAGAGCAGGAGCTTCAGCATTTAACGAACTAAGAAATGCAGTTTTTGCAAAAGTTGCTTCGCATTCCATTAGAAAAATTGCAACAAACGTTTTTTTGCATTTGCACAATTTAGATTTAGCTTTTCATTTGAGCAAACAAACTGGTGCTTTATCGAAGGTACATTCAAGAAAATATTTACCGCAAGAAAAATATGCACACAAAATGATTTGTTTAACTTCTTTTATTATAGACCATTGATAGAGGTTCACGAGGAATTAATTTTGTTCTCTCAGCCATGGTATTTAATATTGTTCCAACAATTTTTGAATTGGCACTTGTATCAAGTATTTTAGGAACAAAATGCGGTTTAGCCTATGCTGGAGTTTCTATGGGCTGCGTGGGAATTTATGCAGCTTATACATTAGCTATAACACAATGGAGAACAAAATTTAGAGTCTATATGAATCAAGCAGAAAATGAAGCTGGCAATAAAGCAGTAGATTCATTAATAAATTATGAAACTGTGAAATATTTTAATAACGAATTATACGAAGCCAAACGTTATGATAAAGTCTTGAAAAAATATGAAGACGCAAGTTTGAAGACAAGTTCTAGTTTAGCTTTATTAAATTTTGGCCAAAATGCTATTTTTAGTGCTGCTTTAAGTGGAATAATGTTATTAGCTGCAAAGCAGATAGCTGAAGGAAATATGACAGTTGGCGATTTAGTGATGGTCAATGGGTTATTATTCCAACTTTCTATTCCATTAGGGTTTTTGGGTAGTGTGTATCGTGAAGTAAGACAAGCATTACTGGATATGCAGTCAATGTTCATTTTAATGAATGTGGATCCCGCAATCAAAAATAAAATGAATGCTCCAGAATTAAGTGTTTCTCGGGAAAACGCATCAATCGAATTCAAAAATGTTTCTTTTCAATATGAGACTGGTAAACCAATTTTTAATGATTTAAGCTTTGTAATACCAGCTGGAAAAAAAATTGCCTTTGTCGGGGGATCTGGTTCTGGTAAAAGTACTATAATCCGCTTGTTGTATAGATTTATGGAACCTCAAACTGGTGAAATATTGATTAATAAACAGAATATCCGTGATGTTGACATAAATAGTTGCAGAAAGTCAATTGCCATAGTTCCACAAGATTCTGTGCTATTTCATGATACAATAGGTTACAATATAGGGTACGGCGATACAACGAAAACTCAGGTTGAAATTGAAAATGCCGCCAAAATGGCTGATTTACATGATTCCATCACATATTGGCCTCAAAAATATGAAACACAAGTTGGAGAAAGAGGTTTAAAACTCTCTGGTGGCGAAAAACAACGTGTTGCTATAGCTAGAGCTATATTGAAAAACTCACCAATATTAGTCTTTGATGAAGCTACGAGTAGCTTGGATTCCATAACAGAATTGGTAATTTTTATCTTTATTTTATTTTAAAAATAAATTTCAATGAAAATAAAAACATATTATATTGCAGAATATTTTAAATGCTTTGTCAAGGGCAACTGAAGGTAGAACGAGCATATGTATTGCACATCGTTTGTCTACAGTAATGGATGCTGATGAAATTTTAGTTCTAAATAAAGGTTGTATTGCAGAACGCGGAACCCATGCAGAATTATTAAAACGAAATGGATTTTATACAAGACTTTGGGAAACACAAAATAAGACCAATTGATTGACGCTTTAATATTAAAATTATATTTGAGCAATCACTAATAATTAAGATGCAAAAATATGTTATTTTAGCCTTTAGGTAATAAATTTGTTCTGTTTAATTAATGTAAATTATCTGTAAATTAGTAATAAAAATATATTTTTTGATGGACTGTTGATGTTAAATAGTTTTAATCAGAAAATTACAAAGAAAATCTGAAGTTTGTATTCATTGTATGCATGTATATAAAATATCTATTTATTCTTTTCACAAACAAGTAGTTTAAATTATAGTTTATTTATCGTTATACACAAAAAATATTTAATATGTATTAAAAAAAAATACATTAACTTTGGTCTGTAAATTAACTTTTTAAAAAAGTTTTAGTTATGTTCTCGAATTCTTACTGGCATTGGAACCCCATATATTAAGAAAAGGAATGAATTTCCTACATGATAAAAGAAATCCCTATAATTTTCTGCTCTTTCTAATATCTCATTCCAAATTGGAAGCCATTTGTCATTCTTATTCATAATTCCTGAATTCTCTTTCAAATTTAACATTGTCCTATTCACAAAAGTGTACATGTAAGAGGATGCTTTATCTCCTCTCGTTATAACTTTGTGGCGGCCGGATTCTACTGGAAAATTGTTCCCTGAACGTAAAACAATTAATTTGTTTTTGTGAATAAAGTCTACTTTTCCTTCAATTACATTTAGTGTTATATTGAATAGTTCTGGTGCTATATAATTTTCTAAAGTTAATCCTGGAAAATCAGCTATAAAAAGGACATCGGAATAATTTGACCATGATAATACATCTTTTGTTATTTCGCTTAATTTGGGTCGCATATAATTCAATTCATGAAGCAATGGTAAAACCCAAGTAGTTTTTTTAAAAGGATGCCATACCGCTTTTGTAAGATCTTGTCTTGGATCATAAACACGTTGCTGAAATCGACCGTTCATAGAACACCATATATCAAAATAAATAGAAAAATTTGCGGATTTAATAATTGAATTTGGATTAATTTTTAAATCATTAATTAAATTTCTCTGAATACATTTTGCATATTGATAAGCCATATCTGAATGCTTAGTCCATCTATCATATTGTGAGAAGGCATAAGGATTTAAAAAATGAGATTCATTATTTTCATTGTCTACAATTTTTATAGATACAGATATAGTATCATAAGAATGAACCTGAAAAAAATTATTGTTTTATTATTTACTTTATGTATGTATCAAATTTCAAAATTTATATATGTACATACTGATAATCTAATTGTAAAACTATGTCTTACCATCATATCCCACGAATATCCATATAGACCATTTGTCCAATTATTATACCCTTTAGTTATAAAGTGAGAATAGGGTAAGAATAATTGTGTTAAACAATATAAAATAATAAGGCAAACCCTAAAGCTTTGCGTTACTTCTGATTTTCTTACACAGATTGGAGTAAATATCTTAGCATCTTTTTGAAAACAATTTGTATTGGTTTTCGTAATTGTGTTATTTACATTACATTGCGTTGATCTTTTTGTTGCGTATTTCGTTTGTCGAAGTTTAAATAAAAAAGTTTTTACTTTATGTATAAATACTCTTGGCCAATCAGGTTGAAAAAATAAATGAGCTTCAGCCAAACACACCCATGGAAACATTCCTATATGTTTATGCACAAAGAAAATTTATTGAAATTTATGAATCGATGAAATTGAGAAGTTCTATTAAATAAATGTACCTATTGAAAATAGTCTCGAATTCATTAAATGAAAAGTTAACATAAATGGTGTTGCCCAAATTCTAGATTTATTCCATGTCATTAAAAATGCTATTGTTACATCAAAAATAGCCGTAGTCCAATGTATTATCAATAGTTCAATTAATTCTACACTCAAAAAATATCTAAGAGGTAAAAATAACCAATGATATCCTAAATTTGTCATTGAATAACCAGATAACCATTCTGCTGTTAATTTTTTCAAACCAGCATAAAAATAAAGAATGAAAAATTGAAATTTGATCAAAAAATAATTCCAGTATGGCACACATGACTGTTCCACTTCTTGTGACTTCAAATTATCAATTGACCTTTAAGTGCAATTGAAAAATAAAGTAAAATATTTAAAAATTATGTACATAATGTATTTAAACACAAAATTACCAGAATTTATGTGAATCAGTAAAAAATAATAGAACACCACATAAACCATATAAATAACTGTGATTATTCCATGCGGTCTTATCCAACAAAAATATATACCAATATGGTATAGAAAATAATAAGCATGATAATTTAAATTTATAACCTAAAGTAATTCCAAGAGCTCCAACCCACCTAAAAATTTACAAAAAAATTATACTTGTGTATGCATATATATAACTGTTCTTTATAATATATATGTACATGTGTATATAAGTATATATGTTATAATTCTATTTTATATTTTGTTATTCAAATAATCTTACATCACTAAATAAACAACACCTATTAATGGTAAACTTAAAGGTTGTATACTGTCTATTAACGGGAAATGACAAATTTTTGGATCACCAAATCTAACATCAATATGACCTCCTTCCCTTTCTTCAGGAATATCTATTAACATTGCTAATCCTTTAATAATAAATGAAAAATTTTAACATAATAGAAATTATGAATGAAAATTCTTATTTACATAATAACAATTATATCAATACGAAAAACATATTTTTACTATACGTACTACACGGTACTATTTTAGACATGTATAACTATATAGATAAATTTGTGGAATTATTTATTTTATTATTCAAATACTTACCGAATAGTAAACGAAAAACACCTAAGGCTGCTGAATCTGTTGGTCTATGTAACCAATTTACAAAGTTTTTATAAGAGATAAAATTTTCCACTTCATAACTTGTAAAATTTTTAAAGTAGTATGCAAATTTATTCCAATTCCTTTTAATATTTTCGGGGGTTGGAGAATCATTTGTATTTTTTTCATGTATTATTTTTTCCATTATTCTGTTGAAAAATATTGTTGGTGTTTTTTTTTAAATTATTATTGATAATTTTCAGGATTTAATATTTATAATAATATATTTGTTTATACTTAAATTCAAAAGACTTCCTATATAGACATTAGATAAAAACAATATATGCATAAATTTGTTACCAATATTCAAAAATGTAGTAAACATCTGCCGTATCAAAGAACAAACAATTTCTTAATTACAAAAGAGTCACTTTAAGTCGTCACTTTTGAAAAACAATTTATTATTAAATTTTATTCGTTTACAATGGTAATATGCACGTATAATTGTAATTTCATTTATTTTTGTTATTTGAGATTATAATATTAAAACAATCTGGGAATAATGAAAAAATAAATTTTATTTTATCTTAAGGATATCAATAAAGGATTCTTCGATAATATTATTTTCAAAAAATTAAACCAGCAAAAGCTTTACCTAATGAAAAATGATCGTTTGACGGTCTTAGCCAAGAGTCTATAACTGTAGCCAAGGGTCTATAACACTTCAGTCAAAATAAGACCGTAACATTTAAAATACATGCATTTTTTGCATTATGAGTAAACCAATTATTTTATTGAGTTTGAAAAAATATTGTCAAATATTAATAAATTGAATAATTGCTATAAAAGTTTGACTGTTCCATCATTTTACTTAAATAATTTATAATGATTCATCAAATTAAAAACACTCAGTAATTCAATAATTTGATGAAAAATTTAAACCTTTATATTGCCGAAAATATGTGTTGAATATAGAAAAAATTTAATAATTCGTATTAGTATATTGTGGTCTTCATGTATTTTTAAAGTGTTATTTTTGTAGTTCCTATACATTTCGAAAGCTCTTAAAGACATATCAACACGTACCATAAGGAATTACGTACATATGTGCGTAAAAATTTAGAAATCATCACAAATAAATTATATAGGCGGTTTTTAAATAATGTCTGGTTTCATTTAAGGATAAATTATGTATACTTCAAAAATAGATTAGTGGGTGCACGTTATTTGAACGTCCTACTGACTTTTATTCTATTTTTTTTTTGTTCGTAATAAAAGTTGATTACATATATTACATAGATGCACAAGTATATGAAATGTACACTGCTTTTTTGTGCCTTAAATAAATTGCCTACATTTATATACAACCACACGTACTTATATATGCATGTAACTTAATTAAAAAAATTCTTCATTTACTTCCTTGTTTTTTTTTTTGTTAAAATAATTTATTAAATAAATTTATATTTATTATAATAAATTTTTATATAGACAAATGTGTAGATGTATAAATTTTAATATCCACCAACGCGAGTAAATATTTTTTGAGTAAATTTAATAAAGCGGGTCTAATGTCCTTTTTCATTTTATTTGTATATAGAATAGAAATTTACTATTTACATACTTATCTTTTTTTTTTTTATTTTTTTTTTATATATTATTTTACAATTATAATAAAAGATAATATGAAAAACAAAACTTACCTTATCAAGCTTTAAAACACAACTGAATCTTGGGTGTATAGTAAAGATAAAAGAAATGCTAGAGTTGAAATTTGTATAAAAGTTTACAGCATCTTTTATATGGGAAAAAAAAAAGTTATCTTAAAATTGGTAAAAGTTCAAGTACCATATTACCAACAAATTAAGTGCAATATAAAAGTTTTATTGATAAATTGTTATATAGAAAAATTAAAAATGCGCAATTTTTCTATAAAGGATGCGCAATTATTTTTCTCCTTCTTGTTTATATATTTTTTTTTTGTTTAACTGTTCGAATTATGAAATTTTATACATAAATTTACTTTTAAAAATTTCTTTCGCAAAGCCCAATTTTATGCAATATTTTATATGAATTAAGTTTCTATAGTATGCCATTCTATGGTTAATATACTATAAGATAAGTGTGAAATTTTGGGAAAATAGTAGTTATACTTTAACCACGATACGTAATGCACTATATATGTACCTAGATCAGAGTAAAGAGCTCTTTCTTATCATCAATATTCAACATTTATGGTTGTTAAAATTATTTTGGGATATGTTCGCGTGAACACTAGTAGCAATTTGCTCGATAGTATTCACTAAACATGGGGGTTATGCACGCTGCGCTTAAAGTTCTACATTAGAACTAAAATTTTCTAAACCGCAGCGTTAAGCAGTATGCAAAAACTTTAGCTAAGTTTTTTTTTGTTTACACAGCCTACAAATTCGGAAACTTTTAAATAATCAGTCGTTCGAAAATAACAGAAATGATATTGTTTATGAAATTGTATCCCAATACTTTGCGCTTTCCAATTCATTGCAAAATAAGGAAATTTTAACAGGATTTGAAGACTTAGAAAATACTTACTTTAATAACCCTTCAATATCTAAATCTGCCATTTTGAAATTTAAATTTTTTTTTGATTTTAAAATTAAAAAAAAAAATTTCATGAGGCAGCGACAAAATTTATACTAGAGGTCTGCGCTACATTTCTAACATTTCTTTATTACAGCCAGTAATTTCCGAACGATCTATATTTGCAGGGTATGTAGCGTGAATTTTCGAACGTACAAGCTAAAACTATTCTAGAACTGAGTAAATGAAAACCGCCCATCTCTTTTGTTCAATTGAAGAATACAGCCAGGCAGACATAAGTTGAAAGTTTCTTCTGTGATTCGTTTTTATAAAAAAAACTTTTTACGGACTTTTTTGAATAAATTTGAAAGGGTTTTTTCTTTATTTTCAAAGATGTAAATGGTGAAAATTTAAATATAGCACAGATGTAAAATAAATTTTAATAGGAGCATTTTATAGAAAATTTATATTTATTGGGCCTTCAGAAATTTAAAATCGTGTTAAATATGTATGTACATATATACGCTTATTATGATCGGCGAAGCAAATTGCTAGGTGAGTCGAATATTATATATTATAATCGACGAATGTATTCGACTTCTACCGAAAATAATAAGGTTAACACCACACATACTTTTGTACATTGTTTTTTTCCTTTTTTGCAAAAACAATTGAATTTTTCTATCCTTTAGCAATTACGGGGTTGTTGTCCATTAATTTATTTAAGAGCTCGAAGTGTTTTTCATTATGCATTATTATGATTTTTGGCTTCATTCGCCAAGTTTGTCACCTAGAATTTTCATTCGACAGATTTGAATGCTCATTCGCTTAAAATTTAGGCGAGTTCGCTCATCATAATACTACAAATTTATATTCGCTAAAAATTTCATTCGCATCGCCGATCATCATTAAGGGCCATAAATACAAAGAAAATATAACATGCAAACACTTTCGATATATTTTGTCATCTAGATTACAGATTATTAAGTTCAATAATTTGTCATATTTTGTTAGGAAACTGCATAAAGGTGTTTAAGATTATAAGTATGTATATTAAAACCTATAACACAAAATATTGTGTTCGAAGGTTTATAAAAATAAATCAGAAATAATGTTCTAAGAAATAAAAAAAGGTATAAAAAATATTAGTGTGTTAACGAGTATAATGGTAAAGTCAAACACAAATTTAATCTTTTTTAACCTTTTATTTATATATTTTAAAAATTAGTAAAAAAGAAAAATTATAAGATTATTCCTCCTTTATGTCACCAGTCTGCATACTTTCAACATTTTCAACATTTTGGTAGCTAATATAAATAATTTTGATAAATAAAAAAAAAATCTCCATTATTCTGCTATTACATACTTGGATAGATGATCAAATAATATATTACCTGTAAAATATTTATCCAATTGTGCATGATTTGAAATTATAAAAATGTTTGCCACTGAGATTTGTTTTGATGTTATGAATTCTTACTTAACTCCCTTCAGAAATTGAGTACATATACATGTTTATTTGAAGAAATAAAGTTAAAATAAAATTTCAGACGAAAACATACCACAGAATCAATAATCTTTTATTATTTTTATAAATATATATGTATATGCTTAAATATAAGTCTATATACATACATAGGTAACTTTTCAATTAAAATATTTTTTGAACAAATTTTCACAATAGCATTTTTATATTAATTTTCCAATTTGAAATAATTTTTGTTTTTCATAACATTTAATAACATTATATCGCATTGACACAATTTAAGCGTTTCATTTAAACATTTCATTTAAAATAAAAATATGTATTGATATTTATGTATCATAACAATTTTGTTAAAAATTTAAATTTCTTACATTATGTTTATACATACCTGTTTTAATAAGTAAATATACCAATTTTTTAACAATACTTTTTTTTTTTAAATTTTGTTTTATAATAATAATTAAATTTGGTTATAGTAGTTTTTGAAATGTTTTTTTTTAAAGTAAATTTAAATGTTTTTTTTTATGTTTAAAACGTTATTAATTTTTTTTAACATCATAATAGTTAATTATGCAAGAAAATTAAAAACATTCAAATTCTAAGATTTATAATATAATTATTTAACAATGTATATATTCCAATTTTGATTATGCATATTTTTACGTAACTTTTTAATATAAATAAATAATATAATGACTATAATGTTTATTTTTAATATATATGATATAATATGGACCTTATTTATACAAGAAGTACATAAAAATTGGAAAGTTTGCACTTGTTAGTCTGTTACTTTTTATTTAATTATATATCTGTATTTTTGATTTTTTTATAATTTGTAAATATTTTTAATATTTATCTTAAATTCTAATTATTGTCTGATAAATTTTTGTATCATTATTTTATATCGAATATAAAATAATTTATGATATTCGATATTGACTTTGGGATGTGCTTGTAATTGACTTTAATTATATATATATAATATATATATAAATTATATACATATATATATATATATATATAAATAATATCTAATATATATGTATATATATAATATATCTATCCACATTTATGTCTATGCAACAATTATTAATATAAATTCAATAATAAAAACATAATGGACTAAAAGTATATATTTTATATATAGTTTAGCAACTCATCAATCATTGAAAAATTATAAATATTCAATAAACAATTTAACTCAACACAAATAACAATATATCAAGAAAAACACTGTATAATCATAAACGAATAATCAAAAAGACAAAATATTTTGTATTAAAAACTAAAATATCGACGAATAATTTTTAATTAACTTAAACTAAAATGAATTATTAAAATATAAAATTAACATTTAAATAAATTAAAATAATAATTAAACAAATATAAAATTTTGATCAATTATAAATTCTTAAAAATATTATAGAATAACGACAGTTGATTTATAGTAATTTACTAAATGAAAGTAATAAATTTATATAAAATATTTCATATAATTAAAAATATATAATTGAATCAAAAATTATTTAACCTAATTATAATTATGACAAAAACACATTGGTTTATTTTGGTTTTTTGCGTTATTTATTTCGACTTACTTTTTTAATTTATATTTGAAATATATGGTTTTAAATCTAAATAATTTTCATTAAATAATTGATTTTTCCATAACGAATTGTATTTATAATATCTATATGAAAAATCTACATAATTAAGATAATAAATGGTTATGTAAACAATATGTAATGTTTAAAAGCAATATTTTTATCATATAAAGTTTTTCTTTTTTCTTCCAAATTATGCTATTTCGAATTAAATTCTTTCAGATATTTTAAAAATATTTATTTAATGTAATAATATGATATGCGTTTTTTAAACAAAATTTAAAATTAGGCTTTTAAGAGAAACAAAATGCATATGAAAATCTATATATAGATTTTTATGTTAAATTTAAAATTTGTTTTAATAAGATGGAAATATAAAAAAATTACTATTATCTAAAAAATTATATTATAAAAACAAAGAGAAATCAAAAAAAAAATGTATGCAAAAAAAATAATACAATTATTTTTAGTTTTTTGTGTATTTCTAATTTTGAATTAAAAGCGATTATAATATATAACAATTATTTATTATGAATATGTTTGTTTTTTAATTTATTATATAAATTGTAATGAAATGTGTAAGTTTATTAAAACAATAATCATGAATATAAATTGCATTATATATTATTGTATATTAATATAACATGTATTTAAAAAACCAGTTACTGAATTGAGTATTAATCTAAAAAACATAATAACATGTTCTATCAATGTTGAGGAAAGTGTTTTTTTTTTATAAAATTCTAATAAAATCAATTTTGAAATCAAAACGAAATTTTAAATTTCTGTTTTTCTTCAAATGTAATAAAGGTTAATAACGTACATAATTTATAACAAAAATGTGATTTTAAAGTTTTTTTTTTTACTAATAATACTCAATTTTAATTTCAAAAAATAAATTATCTCATACAGACCTAAATAATATATAAAATTATCGTTAAAAAAATTTGTTTCAATGAGTGAAGTTTTATTTTAGTGTTATACTCTTGAATTTGTATGAAAATTTTTATTTGATTTTTTGTTTTTGTTAAAAAAATATATAATTAAATATAATATAATATACGTATTACATTTTAAAAGTGAATGTGTATGTTTTAAATCATAAACACAAAGTTGTATGTAAAAATATCAGTTTTTAAATAAAAACAAATTATGGCGACCTTGCTGGATCAATAACACCACCAGGACCAGGTAATCCACTTGGACGGCCTGTTAAATACGAATCAACTTGACGTGCTGCTTGACGGCCTTCTGTTATTGCCCAAACTACAAGAGATTGACCGCGACGGCAATCTGCAATTAACATTTCAATGTTATTATACATCTTAATTTTAATGTTTTGGGAAAAAATTTTAATATAAAAATAAAGTCAAACTAACCTCCAGCCGCAAATACTTTTGGATTAGACGACCCATATTGACCGTTAACAGCTTTAATGTTACCACGATTATCTAAATCCAAGTTTAATTCATTTGGAACAGTCTTTTCAGGTCCCAGGAAACCCATCGCTAACAATATCAAGTCAGCTGGATAATACTTTTCTGTTCCAGGGACTTCCTTCATACTCCATTGTCCATTTGGACTTTGAGTCCATTCAACTTGAATTGTATTAACACCAGTTATATGGCCATCTTTGCCAATAAATTCCTTTGTTGTTGTGCTATATTGCCTTGGATCTTTTCCAAATTTAACTTTGACTTCTTCATGACCATAATCAACTCTATTTATCATAAAATTTTATAAAATGTGATGCAAAATGCAATAAATTAATAAATAAAATCAATGTTAGGAATTTTCGATAACTTACCTGAATACTTTTGGCCACTGTGGCCAAGGATTATCTCCAGCTCTCGTATTTGGGGGAGTAGGCAAGATTTCGAATGTTGTAATCGTTTTAGCTCCTTGTCTCAACGAAGTAGCGATACAGTCACAGCCGGTGTCACCGCCACCTATAATAAGAACATCTTTGCCTTCAGCTGAAATGTTGTCTTGTTTACCACCCAATTGCTTCTTTTGTTGAGATTCAAGAAATTCCATTGCAAAATGAATACCCTGAAGATCACGATTTGGCAAAGGCAAATCACGTGGCCAGGTAGCTCCAGTAGTAAGAAGCACCGCGTCGAAGCTGAATTGAAAAGTTTTTTAAAATTTACATTTTTTTTTATTCATGGAAATTTGATGCTTACTCGTTTAAAAGAGATTCAGCTTTGAGATCTTTTCCAACATGAACATTTGTTTTGAATTCAATACCTTCAGCAGCCATTAAATCCACACGTCGTTGCACAACTGCTTTGGACAACTTCATGGTTGGTATACCGTATTGCAAGAGTCCACCAATACGATCATTTCTTTCAAATACAGTTACTAAGTGACCAGCACGATTTAGTTGTTGGGCTGCTGCCAAACCAGAAGGTCCTGATCCCACAACAGCTACTCTCTTACCACTGCGATTTGTAGGGATTTCTGGTTTGATCCAGCCATTTTCAAATGCGTGATCGATAATAGCGCATTCAATATTTTTAATTGTAACTGGAGGCTCAGAAATGCCCAAAACACAAGCACCTTCACAAGGCGCCGGGCAAACGCGGCCTGTAAATTCGGGGAAATTGTTTGTTTGCAATAGTTGATTTAGAGCCTCTTTCCATTGCCCATGGAAAATTAAATCATTCCATTTTGGAATGATATTTCCTAAGGGGCAACCGTGCACATTCGATTGGCAAAATGGAACACCACACTCCATGCATCGTGCTGCTTGAACCTTTAAATATTTCCGAACATGTGGGAAATTATACACTTCATCCCAATCTTTTTGACGTTCACCAGCATTTCGATACATTGCAGTTTCTCGCTTATATTTGACAAATCCACGGGTTTTATCAAGTATTTGATCAACTTTTTTCTTTTCTAATTCGATATCACGAATAGCTTCTTCAATGTCTTGAATGGTAGGTTCATGTGGAATATTACCGTTTGCGACAGCTTTGTTTGAAACTTTCTCAGCTTTTTCAATTTCTAATGCCTTCAAAGCTCGTTGATACTCATGTGGGAAAACTTTAACAAATTTAGCTTTTTCTACAGACCAATTATCTGCAATTTGCTTTGCTACAGCTGATCCAGTTCTCTCTATAAATTCGTCAAGCAGGTCCTTGACAACTTTGACATCTTCTTCATGTTCTAGGGGCAACAAATCTACCATATCTGGATTAACCTTGGGTTTAAAACTTCCATCTATGTCATAGACATACGCAATTCCACCTGACATACCAGCTGCGAAATTACGTCCAGTTAAACCAAGAATTACCACAAGACCACCAGTCATATATTCGCAACCATGATCGCCAACGCCCTTTAAAATATATTTGATTTTAATGTTTTGTTAAGTTAATATGAAAATAATATTTTACCTCAACAACAGCTACTACGCCGGAATTTCTAACACAAAATCTTTCAGAAGCAATTCCTCTAAAGAATGCTTTACCAGCAGTGGCACCATATAAACACACATTTCCAACAATAACATTCAGATGAGACTCAAAAGGCACTGTTGAAGGGGGTTTAATCACAACAGTCCCTCCACACAAACCTTTTCCAACGTAATCATTCGCATCTCCTGTTAATGTGACGTTAATGCCTTTAGCTAAGAAAGCACAGAAACTTTGCCCAGCTGAGCCTTCTAAAGTTATATTAATACTGCGACCATCTGGCAAACCACTCTCACCAAATTTACTGAAAAGTCAAAATAAAATTAATATAATGTGTTATTTAAAAATATTTATGTATCAAAATTTTACCAGGCAATATGATAACTTAAAGTAGATGTGTAAGCCCGTTCCTCATTATTAATTCGGGAGACGATGTTTACCGAGTTTTGGGTACCGTTAATAACTGGCTGCGATTTGGAAATCAACTCATTATCAGCTCGCTTTTCTAACCCAAAGTCTTGAGGGATTGATCCTCCAATTATGTTTGTATTTGGACGAAGTTCTAATGCATTTTTCAAAAGTAGTGATAAATCCAAAAGTTTAGCTTTTGGAGCACACTTGTCCTTCGGTTTAAGCAAATCAGTACGCCCGATTAAGTCTTGGAATTTCTTTATTCCAAGATTTGCCATAATTTGGCGAATCTGCAACAATTAAAGGTATTTTATTTTTAATTTATTTTTTGTTATATTTAAATTTACGTCTTCAGCCAACATAAAGAAGAAATTAATAACATCTTCGGGTTTTCCAGCAAATTTTTTACGTAAAACTGGATCTTGTGTAGCAATACCGACTGGGCATGTATTCAAATGGCATTTTCTCATCATGGTACAACCTTTAAATATACAAAATATAATGTAAAAAAAAGTTAATAAAAGAACTTTATAATATACCCATAACAATCAATGGAGCTGTGCTAAAACCAAATTCATCAGCTCCTAAAATTGCAGCGACCACAACATCGAATCCAGTCCTCAATTGACCATCTGCTTGAACGACGACTCTATTTAGAACAGGGGGAGAAAAAAACGTTTTTTAGAATTTGACTTATTTAAAATGTTAAAAATAATTAAGAAAAAGCAAATTACGAATTCGAAACTCGGCTGGCCATTTTTCAAAGGAACGCACACAAAGGAAGTCATTTTTGTATATATATTTTCTAATTTTTTTTTTGGTTACACGAAAAGAAAACTTTGATAACATGTAGGGCTACAATTTGATATCAGGGCTTATAAATATCTAACATTCATATCGAAGCAACCCTAATTACACTTTTCATAATATATTCTCAGATCAGCCATTCAGATGAGATTCATTTCTTTCAGTTTTTGCGAGAGCATCCATTGGCATAATACATTAATTTTTAATTTTTTTAATATTTGAATCTGTTCTCTGAGTAGCATATCTTGTTCTAAATATATTCTACACATATCAAAATCAAAAACGATTTGGAATTCACAGGATAATAAAAGGTTGGATACAATTTTTTTATACAAAATATTTGGAAAAAAATTATTTCTTTTTTTAATTTTCTCTTCCTTTCGTTTTAATTCCTAAATAGTGTTTAAATCACATCTCACCGAAAGATTGTGATTAAATGTCGCAACTTTTATCTTATATAGTTAATGTTTATTTAGATGTTGTCTTATAATTTCTAAAGCTTGACAACCCTTATAGCATCCTTCATTCACAATGTCATCACGATCTGAATAAAAACACAGTGTGGACTAAATTTTTTTCTTAGTTTACAAAAAAAATTTCCTTCATGGAAATGTCTTACCTTGAGCGAAGATTATTCAATACTAAAACTTGATGGGTTTCTGCAATACCCAATTCCCAAGGTAATCCAGCAGATTTAATACCAGTCCATGAACTAGCCCCAGTACCGCCATCATGACCAGATATTGTTATATGCTCAGCCTTACCCTAAAAATGCAACGCAATGTAAAATATACATAACTGACATCATCAATTTGAAATTTAAAGTTATTAAATTTAAAATGTTAAAGTTAATAACAATTATATTATTATGTTACAAAGCTTTTTTTAATCGGCTATTATTTGTGTACAAATAAATTGAAATATACATAGAAAATCTAAAGGTATTTGTTGGAAAACCTACTTTAGCGACACCAGCTGCAACAACACCAACACCTACTTCCGATACCAACTTAACGCTTATTCTGGCTTTTGGGTTTGAACATTTCAAATCGTAAATTAATTCAGCCAAATCTTCAATGGAATAGATATCATGATGGGGCGGCGGTGAAATTAGCCCAACACCAGGAACAGAGTGCCTGGTATCCGCGATTTCCTTTGTCACTTTATAACCAGGAAGTTCCCCACCCTCACCAGGCTTTGCACCTTGAGCCATCTTAATTTGTAAATCATCAGCATTAGCTAAATATGCAGCTGTAACTCCAAATCGGCCTGAAGCTACTTGCTTAATAGCTGATCGCTTATTAAATTCTGGATCTTGATCTGTATTACAAAAAATAAAATTGATAAAATTTGTAATTAATATTTTTATTTAAAGTATATAACACAAGAAACCGCATTCCGCAGGAGATGAATCCGCAGATGAAACTCATTTCACTTTCGCATCAGTACGTAGCAATTCAAATAATATACGGTATTATCAAAGTATACTTCGTACGTCCTTGTTTACGCAACATGAGGAAATGGTTAATGTATAGGTTTTAAAAAGGATGATCACAATCTTATTGTATGAATTAAAATGGTCCTACTGTTTTTTTCTTTGTTTTGTTTTTTGTTGATGACTTACCCATGTAACGGTCAGCATTTTCACCACCTTCACCAGTGTTACTTTTGCCACCAATACGATTCATTGAAATTGCAAGTGTTGTATGCGCTTCCAATGAAATACTGCCAAAACTCATGGCACCTGTGGCAAATCTAAATATAAGTTATTAATAAACGTATGTATAATTTCCAAACAAGAAAGTATAATTATTATTTTTATTATTTTTAATTAACTAACAAATTTACCTTTTAACAATTTCACTTGCAGGTTCTACCTCAGAAATATCTATTTTTTGTCTATCAGTGACAAAAGATAACTGTCCGCGTAATGTACATTTTTCAACATTATCCAAAGCTGATGTTCTGTATTTTTCATAAGCACTCTTATTGTTGTTAGCGGCGGCTTCTTGCAAATAAGCGATACTAGCCGGTTCATTTATGTGATGTTCTCCACCATGGCGCCAGTGATATTGACCTGGATTACGCAAAATTTTTTGATCAGGTGATAAATCCCCATAAGTTAATTTAAAACGTTCTAGTCCTTCTTTAGCCAAAATTTCTAGGGTAACACCACCCAAACGACTTTGAGTACCACGGAAGCAGGTATCGATAACATCAGGACCTAACCCTACAGCTTCAAATATTTGAGCGCTCTTATATGACTGTAAAGTACTGATGCCCATTTTAGCCATAACTTTTGAAATACCAGTATCAATTGCTTTAGAATACGCTGCATATATTTCTTTATCCGACATGTTTTGATCGATAACACCTTCGTCGCGTAATGCCATAGCCAATTCAAAAGTTAAATACGGGCATATCGCATCAGCACCATAACCCAAAAGTACGCATACGTGATGAACTTCCTTAGCTTCAGCTGTTTCTACTATAATACCAACCTTCATCCGGCTACGAGTTTCAATTAAATGATGGTGTAAAGCACCCAAAGCTAATAACGACGATATTGGACACCGATCGGGGCCACCTTGTCTATCAGATACCACTAATAATTGATGACCATTTTCAACAGCTTGCTGCCCTTCCAGACATATACGTCTCAAACAATCTAAGTATCCTTCAACTCCCTCTTGATATGGAAATGTTGCATCTAAAATTTTGGTTTTCCAATCCCGATATGATGTTCGTTTTAGCATTTCTAAATCTGGAATACTTAGAATTGGATTGTGTAACCAAATTCGGTGTACTTGCTGAGCTGACGGTTCAAGTAAATTTCCCTCGGGTCCAAGAGGACATTGCAAAGACATAACAATTTTTTCACGGAATGGGTCGATTGGTGGATTGGTAACTTGAGCAAAAAGCTGCTTGAAATATTCATAGGGCAACGGCTGGAAATTAGACAAACAAGCCAAAGGAGCGTCATTACCCATTGATCCAAGAGCTTCTTTCCTAGAATATATAAAATGCAAAGAATAATTTTCCTCCTTCAATTAAATATATATGTACGAGTACTGAATTTAAATTCTATAAATTTAAAAATATTTTCATTATTATTACTTACTTATTCTTGAACATTGGAATTAAAAGCATATTAACAGTTTCAGTAGTATAACCATATAATGACAATCTTGGATCAAATATTCCACGTTTCTTTGGATCAATTTTTTCAATAGTTCCATTTACACCGTTGATAGCATTTTTGTTATTTAATAAATCAGCATTTCGAAAGTCATCAAGAGACATCTAAAGTAATGGGAAAAATTAATGTAGATGGTAACAATGTGTTAGTTAAAAAATTAAAAATTAGTTGCCAAAATAGCATTAAGAAGCGAGTAAACTACGAATAGCCGTAGGATTTGTATAATATTTGACATTCCAAAAAAAATCGATTTTTTACAAAGTATTTAGCTTTATAGCTCAAATAAAATCTTCAATCGAAAGAAAATTTTCGCTAAAGCTGACTTTTATGCTTTAAATTACAATATGGTTACAAAAATTAATAGCAACTATTTCTAATTTCACATATTACGTATATTGACTTAAACCATTTGCAATATTGCACAAGAAACGCAACTACGTAAATTGTTAAGCTTGCGTAGGCCCCAAAATTTTACACTTTTCGATTAAGTAATAATTTTTTATTTTATGCTTAATCAACAGCAACAAATATGATTGTATATTCATTAAGAACTGATAGGGAACTGCAAGCTGCTAATACTAATATTTTTAAGTACAATTTCAATACACATAAATAGCAAATATACTAGGAATTAAAAATGCAAGGTTGCTTAAAAATAGATTCATTATGGCTTTTCTACAACTTATGAGATAATTAATTTAAGATGCGTATCAATTTGCAAAAATTTTAGTGCAAGATAAATTTCTTCTTGATACAAAAAAACATTTAATATCACATAATTTATTTAAAAAACAAATTTTAATTCGTTGTCCGAAAACTTTAATTTAAATTTGTGGATTTCTGTAGATAACGATACTGATTAAGCGCACAAAAACAAAATTGTAACTGTAAAAACACTCTAAAAGCAACAGAAAACTTTAACCTTCACTTACTTAATTCGTTGAATCCCCAGAAATTTTTATAAATTCTTTTCATGCAAAAAAATTCTGAATTCCTTGTTAGTAAAATAATATTTTAAGATTTTTCACAGTATATTATTCGAAGGTTAAAGATAATTCATTTAATTAATAAGTTATTAGCTAATAAAAAATATTTAGGAGGTTTATAATCTATTAAGGCACCAAATTTGTACTAGCAATTAAATAATTAAAAATAAATAGATAAAACATACTTATAAAGCACATTTACAAAACTTACCATCTGACAAAGACCCACAGAATTTGAAACAATTTAGTTGATAGGTTAAAGATATAAAATATAACAACAAACAATTTAGTAGAGCAAAATTAATATTACATTATATGTGTTTGATTGATGAGAAATGTTAAATGAAATATAAAAATATGAGTATGATTTCAAAATATAAAAATGCAATTAAAGTAAAAATAATATTTTATGGTTAGTATTTAATCGATACATGTATGTATATGTACAAATATGTAATAAAGGTATGTATGTATATATAGCGTTAAATAATTATATGCACAAAAAATATAAAATTTTATACCTTTTCTTTAATCCATTGAGAATGTGGTCTACCTCTGGCAATTTTATTTTTAAGTTCAATATCTTGAATAAATTTCTTTTCTTGTGTATCAACCAATAACATACGGCCTGGTTTTAAACGGCTTTTTAATATAACTTTTGATGGATCAACATCATAAACACCAACTTCAGATGCCATTACCAATATATTATCATTTGTAATATAGAAACGTGATGGACGTAATCCGTTACGATCTAGAACTGCACCAATATAACGTCCATCAGTGAATGATATTAAAGCGGGACCATCCCATGGTTCCATTACACATGAAGACCATTGATAAAAATCACGTTTCTCTTGTAACATGGTTTTATCATTCTGCCATGCTTCTGGAACCATTGTCATAACAGCTTCTGGTAATGTCCTCTGACCAGCCATAGTCAAAAATTCCAATACGCAATCACATGATCCTGAATCTGAAAGACCAGGCTCAACCACTGGATATAATTTTTTTAGTTCACTACCAAATATTTGACTTTTCATAACACCTTCACGAGCTCTCATTAAATTTACATTACCACGTAAAGTATTTATTTCACCGTTATGTGCTAAAACACGTAACGGATGAGCTCTTTCCCATGATGGGAATGTATTTGTACTGAATCTGGTGTGTACTAATGCTAGATATGTTTCAAATTCAGGATTTAATAGATCCGTATAATATTCCCATAGTTGGTCAGAGGTGAATAGTCCCTTGTAAACAATTGTTTTTGTTGATAATGAACAAATATAAAAACGGCGTCCTTCTTTTGTTAGTTCATGTGTTGCACGTTTCCGTAAAACGAAAATTTGTCGTTTTAATTTATCTTTATCAGTTTCTTCGCTTGTAACAAAAACTTGACGAGATAAAGGTTCACTTTTACGTGCAACACGCCCAATTGCTGCCGAATTTGTTGGAACGGTACGCCAGTTGAGAATTTTTAAATTTAAACTTTTAGCCAATTCATCGAACTCTTTTTCAGCTTCTTGATGAGTCTCTTCATCCAAATAAAATATACCAGTAGCATAACCTCCAAATTCTGGTAGCTGTATTCCCGATTTTGCCCTTTAAAAAAAAAATTTAAACAAGGTTACATAAGATGCAAAAACAACTTTGAATTAACAAACATTGTAAAAATACTTTTGACCAATATGTTTAAGTAATATAGATAATATCGTAGAATTGTTACTTTTAAACTGTAGATTATTAAATGTACAAGTATTAAGTATTAAATATTTTATGCATTTTTTATATTTAATTTTTTTGACTTTCATCTATTTTTAATATATGAATTTTTTCCTCATTTCTTAACGTGTCAAAATTATTTTTCAGCTAAATATAGTTTCATCGTTTCACATTATTTAAAGAAATCTTTTAAACATTTCCTGAGATTTTCAAATCATTAATCATTTAAATTATTTTTATTTAAACTCTGTAAAGTCATGTAAGTACCTACTTTATATAATTTTATAGCTATACACACAGTAGACAATTTGAAATGATACAAATTAAAGAATTAGTATACTATTATACATAAATAATAATATGTATGTATTATTACGAAAAAGACATAATATTCTTCAACACTTAATACAATTTTAAATATTTAATAAAATTTTAGGTTCAATAATCTCCAACTACTGAGAACTAAATATAGATTTATAAATTGAAATAGAGCACACAGGTTATTTTCTTTTTTGTATGTTATGCTGCCGTTCTGAATAATTAATAACTATTATTTTAAATATCAATAGAAAAATAAAGTTCAATATACTAATAAAATCGCCTTTGCAAAATTTTATTTTGATTTTATAATTTTCTTTTCAATATAAAATCTATATTAGTAAGATATAAAAAGTGATCTTATGCTTATAAACTTAATTATTTGTAAGATTGTGTTTTGTTGTTTAACAATAAGATATTTGTACAAATGTATATGTACATATGTATGTAAATGGGCCAATATAGTTCTTAATTAAGAATTATAATCAGAATTTCATTTATAGTTTATTTAAAAAGAATTTAATTATTAAAGAGAAATGTACTACGTACTTTACAAACTATAACTTTGGGCTTACTGAAAAACTTACACTTTTTTATTTGATGAATACTAGTTTGGAACGTAGAAGGTGAATTTTTAATGTAAATTTTCATTATTGTTTGAGCGTTAAATATAATCAAACCATAGTCAAAGAAAGTACTCAATAGATTTTCTACTATTTTTAAGTATGTATATGTGTATGTATGTATGTGACAATTTGAAAAATGAAAAAATTTAAAAAATGGAACCATATTAAATTTAAATAATTCTTATCTTTTAATAAAAGAAATTTAACAAACAAAAGGAGTTTATAAATACTTTTTTTCATGAAATAATTTACAACTGAGATTACGATTTTATTTAAAATTCTCACTAAGAATAAATTTTTGTTTACATACAATTTATTAATTTTAATTTTTTTAATGAACTTTGCCCCCTTGACCTAATTTTCATTTACAGAAAACAATTTTTTTTAATTAAATAAACAAACAACACTGTTTTATTTCGTTAAATTAAAAATGTAAACTTTAAAATTTTCTCCTCTATGCGTGAGCACATACTTACATATGTATGTACTTTTGTCTGGATAAGTATAGTATAATCGTTTAATGTACTTATTATTTTACGATTCAAAATTTAGCACATGCATTCGCTTGAATTTTGAAGTTATTATTTTCTGAATATGTACAGGTTTATGTGTTTGTATGCAAATTGAATTTTTCAATTAATTTTAATTTATCTTAGATCAGTTACAACTGAAAAGAAAGGAGTTATTACTAATAATTTTTAATGGAAATGCTTGCACATACATAAGAACATGTATTTAAGTTATTTAATTTAAATTTAATTAAATTGGCATTGATATTAGTTATGCGACGATTATTTTATGTAACATCAGTCATTGGCTTGAATAAACAAAAAACAAAAAAGTACATAACATATTCTGACGTCGCTAGCGCCACTATGTACTTTCTTACATTTATATTTTGTACATTTGTATTGTATTTTTAACTGGTGTATACATACATATATATTTTACATTTTGAATATTCACTTTACGTAGTAGGTTTATAGTAGCGAAAAAATAAATTTATTTTCTAAAATTTTTCAAGAAAATGAAAATCATTTCGATTTTAAAATTTCCACCAAACATGTGTTCACATCGTTTTATAATACTTTTTCATTGTTATTTTGTATAATTAAATTCGGTACATTCATTATATAGACATTGACGTCATACTAAATTTAAGAAAAAAAATATGAATTGCAAAATTAACAAAATAAAACATAATAATTTTAATTTTCAGAAAATAGTGTCAGAAAATATTTTAAGCAGTTATTGACAAAAAATTTCTTATGAATGAAAGGATCCTATGAAAAGTAAGCAAAACTAAAAGTAATTGAAACTGTAATCATTTGTTCAAGGGAAATGTTTAAGTACATTTCACAAACATACATACATAATATACTGATCATAACTAAATGTGTTATTACTAATATTACACTATTAGTTTTATTAAAATATACTCAACGCTATTATTCAATAAAATATGTTTTAATATGTAAAAATTTTGCATTGACGATGAAATAAGAGATATTTAAGGGCCCGAAGTAGTTCTAATATTATACATATGTACATATATCTACAATTTAAATATCCCTTGATAAAAGTAAATTTGAAATAATTCTCAAAATGTGTTAATATTTAGCTGCGATGACGAATTACAAATATGTACCTACTTATGTACATAAATAATACACGCATTATAAATAATACATGCGTTCAAAATTATTTTATAATCAGAATCTAAAATTAAAAATAAAAAATCTAAAATTAAATCACGTGTACCCGATTCGAAATAAAAATATTTTTACAAAAACGAAAAAAAATTTATGTTTTTGTATGTGTACATATGTATGTATGTATATAATATTTATTGTAAGTAAATCATTTATTTTTGAGGGAAATTTATTTCCTGTTGTAACACTTTTAGTGTCATAAAAAATATTTAGTATTTTTTTATTTTAATATTGGATTACGACTAGATTTTGGGTCTAGTACAAATATGTTTGCAAGTTCAGAAATTAAAACCGATTAATTTTAATTAGACAATTAACTTAATTGTCTAATTAAAATAATCTAAATCTTCTAATAGAAAATTTTATAATTTTTTATAATGTAAGAATCATCCATGACTGTAGCAATAGTATGCTTTAGCATCAATAGTATTTATAAAAAAAAATACATAAAAACTGAAGTTTTGATTAGAATTTAAGAATAGTCATTTTTGGTGCGGTTGCAATTTTCAGTATAACCAAATATTGATTTCTTTAATAAGTATGTTCAACATTGCCAATTTTACGAATCGCATAACTAAAGACATACAATTTATGTATGTAATTCATTTGTATAATTTCAATATTTGACAATGCATCCGTATTATGTGCATGTGTACCCCCAAATTTATGCAACCCTTCAGCGTTTTTCTCATAGGGGTACATAAAATTAATATGTAACATACATACAATATGTGCACATATGTACATATATAAAAAAAATTTTAAAATTTTATTTTTAGAAATTTCATTTTTATCTATTCAAAATCATTTTTAATGTATGAATAACAAAAATTTGAAAGAGAAAAAACAAAATACTTTGTATTTATTTTTTCGAGTCTAAAACTTAAAGACCTAATGTTTATTTTTCTTGAAAATTGCAATATTTGACTTTTTGATATAATCTTAAAACTGTTTGTTTTTCTTTTATATTTTCGTACCATCATTTTATCTTATGAATTTTTAATGCTAGAAATATTCTTTAAATATAAATAAGATAAATACATAGGTACATACATACATATGTACGAATATATACAATTTAAATTTAAAAACAAATCTAAAATGAAGGTTAAAGCGCAATAAAATTTAAAATTTTATTATCAATTTCAAAATTTTTATATGCACATATAAACGCGTTTATTATTTTTCCCTTTTATTTTTTCCGTAAAATTTTATTAAGGTGAGGAAGAATGTAAAATTTTCTAAAATTTGAATTCTATTAATGATATTATAAAATAAACTAGGGGCCCCTGTGGTTTGCTTATAAGCAGCATTATCTGTTGTAAAAACAGGATTGTGGCAATCAATTTTAAAATAAGTTTAGAAAAATTTGTACATATTATGGCATACATATGCAGGTTATACTTGTATATGCATAAATATCATATTGGTTTGAATACTAATGATAAATAAAAGTAATGGAAATATTTTTAATTTAATAAATTTTAAGATGTAATATGTGTCACTGTTAATTACATAGATATGATTAAAATTCCATTTAAGAATTAGTTAACAATTAAGAACGAAAAATTTCCTTATAAACAACGTTATCTGTTAAAATATTTCCATCATTTGTTTGTTATCCATTTTTTAAAAAGAAAAGAATCCGCAATTGGAAATAGTACCTTTCACGTTAAACTTTAAAACCGAAGTGAATGTGAATTAATAAAAAATCAATGCCTCTTTACTTTATACAGACCTGGCTTGGCTACTTACTCAATTGAAATTTCGCAAGCACACGAAGAATAATTGCCTTAGTACGTAACGTAACGTTATTCGTGTTCTTATATCTCTCACAATTTTTAGTTTTATTTTTTTTAATTTTATTCCATGTTAAATACAACAACAAAAAATTATTTTACTCTTACTTAACTCATTTAAAATATTTCGCTTCCTTTTGCTTTTTATTTTTGTTTATGGTAGTAAAGCAAAAAAACAAAAAAAATATTGCTACTCTTTTTTTATTCTCTTTCGCTTTTCATTTTTTGTTTTTGTTTTACAGTATGTATAATCAATTGAGTAATGTATCTACCCAGTATTCTCTTTTGCTATTTTCATTTTTTTGTTTTTGTTATTTATTAGATTATATGTATACCTGTTCATGAACTGGAAAAATCTTGTAAAATATAATATAGATTTACAAAATTAATGTCTACTTACAATTCTTTTGCATAAAGTTCATGCGGTATAGAAGACATAACACCAGCTCCATCACCGGTGTCATTGTCACATGCGCAAGCTCCTCTATGATTCATCCGTTCTGACAAGGTCTGGGCATCACGAAGAATCTAAAATAATTAAAAATTATATTTAATCTAGTATAAGTAATATGACAAGTAAAAAACTACGTGCTTTTGTGTTTATTTTTTTGAAATTTAAATAATTTTTGAATCAATAAATTTGATTTAGTAATGGGCTTTAATTTTAAAAATATGTAGACTTAGAAGCCAAAACTCAGCTAAATCATTGATAATTTTGAATTAGCGTTCAAAATTATACCCATTAATTGGTAAAGCGGTACAAAAATTTTAACGATATTAATTGCATCAATAAAAAGATTAGTGTCATTTATGTTTAAGTAAATCTTGGATTCCGTTTCATGATTAAAATTAAATACATATATGTATGTATAATAACCTGAATATTTACTCATAGTACAACGAAGTCTATCTATGTACTTTATGAAATATTTAAAGTTTCTTGTTTTTTCAAAAAAAAGTTAAAAATTTCAAAAATCTAAATTTTCAATTTTTTTTATTTTCTCATCTGTGAATATAATTTATATTATATGTATACATAATGTGTATGATTATACATACATACATAAACTAGTATAGACTGTCAAGGTCGTCAAATTATTTGAATTAGAAATTATGGAATTATTGCGCAATTAGCAATAATAATAATGTCTAGCTGATAATCTTTCATGGGCAAGGTAGTATGACTCCGTGTTATAGTAAAAAAAAAAAAATTACTTATGCTCGTGTGTATTAGATTTTGTGTACACATGCAGTAAAGTCTATAGAAAAAAAGAGTAAATATAAAATACAAAAAATATTAAGAAGTTATGCTTATTAAGTAATGAATACTTTTAGTAGGGGAATGCAAATTAAAAGAAACACAAGGAAATATACACCTTCAGTTCCAAATTGAAAAAATGAGTTATCACTTCGAAATTTCAAGTTCCATATTACCTACGTATCGAAAGCTGTTTAAAGTGTCTCATGTCAAAGCCAAATAATATATTTTATAAATTTTGCATCTAATTCATTTTAGAGTCGAGTCACTTAATTTTTTCAGAATCTTTAAAAACTTTAAAATTGATTTTTTTGAAAATGATAATTTTGACATAGACAATTTTCTCGTATTGTCACAGATTTATTTAGAAGATTGTGATAAAAGTTGAATAAATGAAATGAAGGACATTTCGATTACGCGATTGAATTTGGATACTTGCCAATTATATACATGTACATATATATATATATATATAAGTATATATGTATATATACATACGTATACATAAGTATATCTGTTTGAATATGTTTATAGCGCAAATTTTTGGAACATCAAATTATATTTTTGGAATTTGCAAGAATTAGGCATAAGAAAACTTTCAAAGAATGAATCTTTTAAATATAAATATTTAATTTTTATAATGTGTATATGTATATGCCGTGTTAGGGCTATTCACTTAAGATAACGTAACATTATATTACATTTTCATTCCCTGTTCTTCTTTTTCGTTTTCCCGATAAGTCACTCGAAAAAACGCAGAATTGAAGAAGAGAATAAAGTCAGATTATGCAAAAATCTCTTAGCATTAAAAAAGGAAAAATAATTAAAAGTTGAGTATTAATCACATTCACATTTTTATTTTTATAAATAATTAAGTGTTATTTTTAAGTTTGCCGACACATTTCTTAGACAATTTCCCGATAAAAAATCGGCTGAATCATATTTATGTGCTTAATTCAAATGCTGATTTAGTTTAATTATACATTTTCATAGTTGATTAAGTTTTTTTCGAAAGCGTAATCGCGTTTTCTCTAAAACACAAATATTTTTGACTACAACCACTACTTATTACATGATCAAATATTAGCTTTCTGATCCACTAGGAAGATCCACTAGTAGGTATCTAAATGTAAATTCGAATTCGACTGTTAAATTAATGACTGAAAAAAATCTATTATGATATTTTCTAAATACGATTTAAGACGTAGTTTTCTTCATCACTTTTCAAATGTTTTATAGGCTATTAATTTTCGATTTTGTAATATTTTTTTATTGTACATTAAATTCGAACTGTGGGAGATAATGCTTACATTATGCGAAAAATCATGTATGTACATATAGTGGCATACACATTATTATATATAGGTATATATATATATTTTCATAAACATGCACATTCCAGATTTTTTATATTCCAAAAAGTTGTTTTTATTAGTTGGTTTTTTTAATTATACCATATTTTCTTATCGTTTTCTGACCCATAAGGATTAAATTAATAACATAAATAAACGAAAAAAGCTTGAAAATAAATTTAAAAAAAAAACACCAGACGTAGTCAAAAATTTTATTCTTATCAATATTTTCGAATTATAAATTCCAAGTGGTTGGTCGGTTTATTGGTCTATTTATTGAAGTTTGATTTTTTTTTCATAGACACACAGTGTGTTAATATACGATATGTACATACTTATGTATATACGTCGATATTTTTTTTTGCTATATGTGAGGTATTATAATACATAATATACATATGTACATGTGTATACACAATCTTAGTTTATAAATATTCAAAATGTCAATGAATCACACAATTTTTTTTTTGTTAGATTCATTAAAAGCTGATGTCGAATTAGTAGCAAAATAATTGTGTAGATGTAAAAAAATTTAGTTCATTATACGTACATAAAGGAAATTAGAAAGTTCATATACCTATGTATGTATGTACATATACAAAATTAAAAATAGCATGTTCTTAAAAATAGCTTAAATGTTCAATTGCATTTTATTAAATTCAGAGATTGGTGCATATTTACGACCATTGTAATTGAGTGCATGTCAAGCAAATTAACGAAATATTTCATATTAACTAACAGTTTTGGAATCAGCTCTCATTTTCATGTTTTAATTGTCACTACATATTAAAAAATTTTAAATTAATTTTTCTATTTTATTGAATATTTATTAGTAAATAATAAAGCATTTTAAAAACTTTGAAGTTTTGAATAGTTATTTTAGATGGAATTTCCATGTTAAAGTGCAAGTAATTTTTTGAACTTTAGGTATATTTGTAAATTTCTCTTTATTACTACTTTTGTAATATTTGTTTTGTGTTTCTTAATTTTAAATGGGGGCCGGGCATAAAAAAGCAAACCACAATAAAATTTGACTTTGAATCTGTAAGATCTGTTTTCTGTCACTCATAGAAAAGTGAGAGAAGAAAAAATTTCATTAATATTAGTAATAACAAATCAAATTTCGGAGATTATGGTATTAACTTTACGCTTATTTTCAGAGTCTTATATTCAAATACAGAGTTTTTGGAATTTTATTGGAATCACTGGTTTTTGGAATGAAATTAAAATAGCACTTTACGATATAAATTTTTTAAAATTAAAAATAGACATATACGATAACAATTAATTTAAGAATTTCGGAGATAAGCAAAAGAGTTTAAAATAACATTTTAAACAATGCTACTACTTATATACAAATCGAAAATATACTTAAGTATATAATATATTTTTTTATATATAATGCTCCTATAAATACAAATTGAAAATATGTATATAAGTATAATATATAAATATATATAATATATTTTCAATTTGTATTTATAGGAGCATTGTTATATAATTATAACTAGAATAATAATCAAATTAATAATATTTTTTAATTTACCTTGTGAGAAGATTTACCATCAATAGCAACGATGAAACCAACACCACAAGCCTCATGTTCATTTGCAGGATCGTATAATCCTTGAGCTTTTGGTGCTTGCCATGGTAATTGTTGTCTTTTATTATTGATATATTCATCGACTTCATAATCATTATCGATTTGATGATAGTTGTTGCTCCTGTTGTTTGAATCATTGTCGGTATCAAAATCATTTTCGTTTATATTATTGATAATATTATCAAATGAATCAGCAGTTGTTGTAATAGATGTATCAATTCTTGTAAAATTATTATTATTTTCTTCAGTAACTTGAATGTAACCAACACTATAATTATGTTCAGTTTCTTGTTCAATTAAATTATTTCCTGTTACAACATTATTCACTGTTGCTTCACTATTGATATTATCAACATCACATTCTGATTCTAAAAAGTTATTTTTTGGGGCCATTATATGTTTAACCAACCCTTATAAGAATAAAACTTTTTTTTTCTCGTTTGTTATTTTTTTTAATATTTAAACACTGATTTTTTTGTTTTTAATCTTTTCTACCTTTTAGTTTTTAAGTTTCTTTAATGTATTTTTATTTCAACAATATTTTACTTTTTTTTTTTAAGAATAATTAAGATGCACAATTTTTTTTTCCAAAAAAATATTTAATTTTATTAATATTGAAAAGATTTTAATATTTTTTCTTAAATTTTTTACATTAGTAATAGTTTTTAAACAGAGGAAGACAAAAATTTAAATTCAAAAATGTTTAAAATCTGAAAATAACAAATAAATAAAAAAATTAATTAAGTAATAAGTAACTTGTGCTTTTTTTTTTAAATTTTATAACAATACTTAAATATATAAATTTTCACTACACAATTGAACAAAAATATTCAGGCTTTAAATTAATTTATTAGTTGAAAATGTTTAAATTTTCCACAAAACCAATTCAAAAACCTTTAAGTTATTGAACTTTCATTTTATTTCGTTTTCTTCAAATGTCCTGGTTCAGTTTGGCATGAGATAATTTTCAAATAATTTTTCAATAAATAAAAAATCTAGAATTTTTGAATAAAATATTTTTTTATTTAATCAATTCGATGCCAAAGATTATCGTTTCCTTTTTTTTACTTTTATATCTTAATTAATAAAAATCAAATTAAATGTAAAAAATTCAATTAAAATTTTTTAATTCAAAGATCCCATTTTAATTTTGTGTTATTTACATTAAAATTATAAGCACTTAGGTTAGAAAATTAGGCGCCATTTCGTTAACGATAACGATATTATCGACATAGCTGAAATAAATTTTATTTTTAAAAAATTAATTTTTAAAAGAGGTAAAAATAAAAATAGAAAGTAAATAAGTATATTGTAAAATAATAATTTTATTGCAATAAGAATATAATATATTATTTTTTTGAACTTGATTTTGGTAGGTATAAAAAACAAATTAGAAAAAAATTATAAGAATAAATTTGGAATCAATAAGTATAATTTTTTGCATATTTGTACTACCTACTACTGAATTATTGTTACACTTTTATTCGATATTGAATATTATTTTCACTATTCAATTAAAATTGATTGTTATTTATTTTAAAATTCTAATTTTCGAATTAAAACTGAATAACTACACACGCATATGTATTTTTATTATTATTATTTATTTTAATTTATATATACATATATAAAAATATTATAAGAATAAAAATATTATATTATTTTCAAAATGACGCTAACACGAGGTGTGAAGATGTATAATATTCTGATTATTCGATTTTTGTTGAATGCAAAATAAATTTATTTTGCACAATATATTTTTTTTTATGAAATATTTTTATTTTATACACACATTTTTAAATAAAAATAATAAGAAAACAATATACACATTAAATATTTTAATACACAAAACCTTGACTAATATCATATAATTTTAAATATTCAGAGTTCTTTTATAAATATTTAAATATATTAAAATTTTAAGTAATATATGTAGGTACCTATATCTATTTATACTTCTGAATGTACATATAAGATTTCTTATATAGTGCGACACGATTTGTTAAAAAAAAAAAAATAAATAAGTAGCTAAATGTTATTTAAAATTTATTGCGATCTGAACTTGACGAGAGTCTCAACGCGAATGAAAAGTAAAAATTAAATTGAGTGAGATTGAAAACATTCGATTCGAACGAAAGACGAAAAGTTCGAAATTTTAAATTAGTTTATTAATTTATTGTTGTTAAAAGAAAAAAAATCGAAAAAAGGGAGAAGATATTGTTTTGAATATTTTTTTTTTTTATAAATGAATAGAATAATTTTTAGTTTGTCAATATTTTGCGGTTTTGTTTTTCGTAAAGGATTAAATTGACGTTATAAATTTTTATATAATATAAAACGATATACATGTATATCTGTACATAACGATATATATCTGTACATAGGGCCTACATAAGTAGATAAATAAATCTGTAAATATTTAATAGCTCTTATAAGTGATCGTTTGCTCTTTGTAAAGAAAAAGAATTTTAAATTTTACATTCATATTGGTTTTGAAAGTTCCCAGGTGCCTTTGGCACTCTTTTGATAAATATTTGTATGTATTTATAATTATGTATGTATACATACATATGTAATATTCAATTTTAATTTTCTCCATCATGTGCAAATCACGTAACCTAAAATAAACTACATTTAACTTGCACACATTGCAAAATCTGGTTTTAACAACTCCAACAAAAAATTATGGTCAATAATCTTCTGCAAATTAAGATTGTGAAATTTAACAAACTGTTTTAGCAATAGTTATTCTTTTTACAAATAGCTCGTGACTCAAACAATAAATATTATTCTATTATTTTATTCAATTTAAGTAAATTACTTTGATTAACAGAAGAACTGTTTCTTAAAAGATTTGTTTCTAAATTTCTTAAAAGTTTAATTGGGTTTTCACAGAAAAATTTTATATACAATCATTCCCCAACAAGTTAGGAGCCATATACCATCAGGTAGAGGGTCGAAAGTGAGCAAAATTTTTGTTCGATAGTGTTAAATCCGAACCGTTTCCGAGCTACAGGGATTTTAAGAAAGCTATCCGAACTATATTATACCCTATTATTATATCGTATATTATACATTACTTGTGTTCCGAACAAACATTTTACTAAATTTTTGATCTCCTACCCGGCGGTATACGGCTCCTAACTTATTGATCAACACCCTGTATAATATGCACCTTGTTTATAAAATATAATTATAATTTCCTAAAATGTGTATACATACAAGTAAATTTGTACTAGGAATTATATCTACGATCACTCTATAAAGAGAAAGAGAATATGAAGCACATTTTTTATTTAAAATTTATTTTTAGTTGTAAATTTGATGTATGTATGTATAGATGTCGCGCCATTGATAAATGTTACTAGCTAAAATGCATTATTATCTGCCTTCTATTACAATGATGTAAGTATATGTACATATTTGTACAAATATTTAAATACTCGTATAAATATGTGTTAACTTCTGATATAGTATGATGAATTTAAAAAAAAATGTAAAAACGAAAAAAAAACGCGATATGAATGAATTTTTTAATTTACATTTTTATAGAACGCGCTTTATAGTTTAATTTGTTCAGATATAGTTTAATTTGTCACAGTAAAGAGACGTAATTTATGTAAATGTAAATATAAAATAGAATAAATACTTTTTTTTATTTCGTCATTTGAAATTAATGTAATAAGGAAGTAAAATAAGAAACACTTAAAATTTTGTTTTGTGTTTTCTTTTTCACTAGTTTACTCTTTATTATAAAGAATTTTTAGTTTACTCTTTTATTATGAAGATTCATCTAGTTCAAAAATAAAAAATCTAATGTGGTAAGCACATAATCGACCGCAATTTGCATTGCCTACCTAGAAAAGCGTAAATTTGGTTGTTAGTAGAGTTTCGCTTTGTGCCATCCAAATACCAGTTCAGCAGTTAGTTTCGGAAACAGTTAGAACGCTAATATCAAATTTCAAGAAATTCCAACAGTTAATTTCGTACATATGGAAAAATTTGAAATATCGGCCCATAGTTCGATTTCCGAGCCCGGTTTTTTCAAAAACATTTATAGATTCATTGCTTTAACACCCCAATTTTAAATATTAAATTTCAAGGAAATTGGTTGATTATTTCTCTTTATATGCGCCAAAATGCAAAATAGCCCGCAAAAAAGGCCAGTTCCCGGGGTTTGGTTTATCCTAAAATTTGATCAATCCGTGACATGGTCGATCTAAATTCACATATAGAATTTAATCAAAATCGGTTCAGCCAAAAAGGAGATGTACGCATGCACTTATAGACCGACAGAATGACAGATAAACAGACAAACAGACATCTATCTAAAAATAGTTTATTTACACTTCCCAATCATTGAGAAGTGCGTTCCCACCGAAACCTCACTTATTGTATCCAACGCAATTGGTATTCAAAAACATTTTATTCAAACACAATTACATCAATCTATCGTGGAAAATGTAAATTATATAATATTATTAATTGTGATTTGCAATGAAATATTTAACAAGTTCAAGTTAAGTTGACGTATTAAATTTTTTGTTATTATTATTGTAATCTCAACACCAGAAAATAAACGCAATTTTCTACAAACAAAAACGACACACCACAAAAAATTATTGAAAAAAATTATTATAAGGGAAATAATATCAAGGTTATAATTACAATCTCTTGTAACTTGATTTAAATATTAATTAGTATTACATGTATGTATGCGCCTTTAAATAAAATTAACTAATTTTATATAAAGTGCAATTTGAAAAATGACCATAGGGTGGGTGCATTTTATTGTAATTAGTTTTACACTTCACAATAATATCTATACTACTTTCCTTAATAAACAAATTGATATATGAACAGCACATGATTGAGTTAAATTTTCTAAATTAAATTACGTACTAAATAAAGGCTACCTTTTTGAACGTATACCAGGGGAATTGCGAAAGGTCGAAAAATGCTCTATGCATTTAATTGTTTGTGTGTGAATATTAAGATTTTTATGGCTATTATGACAAATAAAAAATATTCTTAACATCCTCTAATTCTATTTCGAGAATGAGACGTCATTTTCAAGTAGAGTCTCATATTTTGATAAAAAATATGAGACTCTACTTGTCTCTTTAATAAAGAAAATTAGATTATAAGTTTTATTTAAACGGATTGAATTAAAGCTAAGGTAGAAAAAGTACAATAAAACATAACGACCGAATATTTTTTTAGTGTTGTATAAATATTTTAAAAGAATTTCCTATTAATTTTAAATTACATTTATATAGAATTTTTATTTTTGCAATTTAATTAAATTAATTAATGATTACGTATTTAAAAAAATATAAACAAGCTTCTTATCAATAAGTTTTTAATATAAAATTGTAGCATGGATTTTAAATACACACTTACATATATTAATTAACTTTCTGACATTTTTCTAAATAACACTTTTACTGATATAAAATTTGATGTGAAATGATGATAGTAGTATTATACATATTTGTATACGTGATTTCTCATTCGTCCATTTTAGTGACTACCATATAGCCTTAGCATATTTGCAAAATATTTTGGAAATATGCTTTTTAGTTTTACAATGTTTGTACCTCTGTTCGATTATCTTTCTTACCGCATGCTTAAAACGTTTGAAGTAGAAAAGCATAATAGAAAATTTGTCTGAAACTTCCCATTCTCCCTCAAGTTATACGTACATTAC